CAGGTGCTGCGCGTGCGTGCGCCCCGGGCTCGCGGGACACGTGTGTTCGCGCTCTTGGGTGGGTGCTCTTGTCCGTGTGTCTGCTGCCCAGGCGGGCTGAGCGGCCCGGGCGCTGTCCGCGGTGCTGACAACCTCCTAGATGTGCGGGGCAGGCACCCCTGACTGCTGAGGCCCCGCCTGAGCTTCCAGGTGATGGGAGCTCTGGCCCTGAGTCCGTTATCCTCTCCTGGGCCTCCCTGTTGGTCCTTAACCCACGTACTCCCTTCGAGTACATGATCCTGGCCACCATCATCGCCAACTGCATTGTGCTGGCGCTGGAGCAGCACCTCCCTGACGGCGACAAGACGCCCATGTCGGAACGCCTGGTGAGTGCTGTCGGCTGGGCGAGGGTGGGCGGTGGAAGTCCCTCTGATGTGAGCCCTGTGGGGTCTGGCCAGTCTGAGCAGCTCCCCTACTCCATTGGAGAGGAGGGATGGAGCCTCCACAGCTGGCACCTCCCTCCAGGGCCAGCTCACGGATGCGGTGGCCATTAGCTGTCTGTCTTGGCCCTCGAGCCACCCCTGCACCTGAATGCCCAGCTGGGCCTTGAACTAAGACTTTTAAATCTACGGGACGGTGGGGGTACTCATCCTGGTGAAGACAGGAAGGTGCAAGGCTTGGTGTCCAGGGGAGAGTGGGTTGGCTGTCCACCTTCTTTGCAAGGCTGGCAGGTGCCTCGGTGCAGAGCTGAGTCTGGGTGATTTCTTTCCAGCCGTCTTCCAGGACTGATGGGAGCCCTTTCCCCCAGGCCCACCGCTCTCAGGGAAGCCCCTTTCCAAACGGTCTGAGTCATTTTATCCCCTCTTCCTGACCCTACGGGAGCTGCACCACCGAACAGAGCTGTGAGAATGAGGACAGGGCGAGGTCTCCTCAGGATACCCAGTCTTGGCTCTTGGGCCAGTGGAGGGCAGGGGTGCCGGCTGGCTGATGGTCTGTCTGGACAGGGACGGTGTTGTTTCAGGGTCAGCATCTTTTGGCCCAGCCCCAGCTCTCGAACTGCCCCAGGCCTTTGCCTGGGATCAGGGTGGGGGCTCAGAGTGCAGAAGCGTGAGGGAGATAAGGCATGAAAGGGCTCCGTGTGGAATGGGTGCTCTGCTGCTTTCGGTGTGGCCTACACCAGCTGCCTTGGCCCTGTGGGAGGGCTGTGGGAGGCAGTAAAGCTTCCTTGGTGGTACCCAGGATCGGGTAGGCACTGTCCAGGGTGGGCACCTGGAGATGGGAGGACCACAGAAGGCACAGGTGAGAGGGTCTCTCCCCTCTGTGGCCTCAGGTTCCTGCACTGGTAGAGGCCCCTCTGTCTGCTCTGACCTGATTGTGGGCATTGGCCCCAGAAGTCAGGAAAGAGGGCAGGCGTGATAGGACCCTTAGATGGGTTCAAGCCTAAGCACCAAGGAAGTCAGGCCTGGAGGTGGGTGCAGAGAAGCCAGTGTGTGTGGTGGATGGGCTCAGGTGTTTTCTCATGGTCCTTTAGGGCGCCTAGCTGTACAGCTTCTGCCCAGAGAGAGTGGCTAGGTTAACTCGTGGCGAGGGTGTCTCTTTTGGGAAAGGGAGCAAGCAGAAAGTGCATTTCTGGCCAACCCGAGTCCAGTCTGCAGCTCAGCCCTTGAGGGTGCTCGGGGAGGGCAGATCTGCAATCTGGGAGAGTGGGCTGGCCCTGGTCCTGCTTCCGTTTCCATAACTGCCTTTAGCCGGAGTCCTAGTTTGAATCCACTGTCTGTCTATCCCTGGCTGTCTGCACATCCTGCATGGTGCAGGACAGGGCTGGGATTAGGGGTCAGACTGGCCTCCTTCCCTAGTGGACTTCTTCAGGAGAGGTCCGTCCTGTCCGTAAACTGTGAACCCTGTCTTTTGAGGTTAGCAGTTCCCAAGGAGCAGATGGTTAGCAGCTCTAACCCTTGGGGAGAGGGGACTCTCCCGAGTATAAGGGAGCAGGAGCCTGGAGGCCCAGCGACTGTGTGTGCAGCCCTACAGGGGCCTTATCTTGTCTGTGGTGAGTCAGCACACAGATAGCAGGACAGGAGCACCAGGCCCCTCAGCAGCAGTTGGTGTTGCCAGGCAGGCTGTGGACTGGCTCAGCTGTGGGCAAGATGAGTCTAGGCTGCACGGTGGTCGGTGCTTCCTGTGGGAGCTGGCAGTACCTTGCAGCTGGTGCCTAGGTTGATGCCTGGCCCCCTTCCTTGTATGGCAGAGTGGCTCTCTAAGGGGCAGTCCTTCCCAGTTCTCTTGGGGGGAGAACACTCAGGTGGCCTCCTTTGTGCCACCCTGTCTGCTTCTTAAAGCTACATTTCCTAGGGCCGGGGATGTAACTCAGTGGTGCTGCACTTGCTTGGAAAGCGCAAGGTCCTGAGTTCAGTACCGGGGGTAGGGGTGGGGGAACTACGTTTCCTGAGGGGAAAAATCCCTACATTTCCCGAGGGCAGGTCCATGCAATGACCATGTCCAGCTCCCTAAGGCACTCTCTGCTTTGGCGCCATACACAGCTGCTCTTGCCATTCGCCACGCCGTCCTCGCCCAGAGCCATTTTCCCCACACTCCAGGGTTGGCTCAGACTAGAGGGTCTGCTCTGCACAAAGCTCCGTGACCCTGGGGTGGAGGAGAGGGGTTTACTAGGCTTTCCCCTCCTCATCCCTGTGGTCCTCCAGCTGGAGTCCCTTTTCAGAATCTAGCTAAGCAGGCTTGCCCAGCCCTGATGTCACACTCTGCCTGGGTCTGAGCCTGAGAGTGAATGTCACCCTCACCTGGCCTCAGGCCAGCCTGTCCTTGAGGTGGTGGGACCTGGGGTCCTGCTGGGCAGGTGATTTTGGGTGAATGCTAGAGTCCCCCCTCAACAAGGATTTGCATGTTATGCTTATCTTGCGTTTGTTGACTGCTAAGACATGTTCAGGATTGAGTTCTAGGCATTATCTAGAATTATCTAAACAGCTTTGTACAGTGGACAGAGGCTGGGTCAGACTGGGTGGTCCAGGGATTCGGCTGTGGTGTCTGCCCAGCTCCTCTGTGTCTGTTTTCTTAGTACTGGGAGGATCGTGAAGGATGTTGGAGGGGCTACTGGAGTTAATGCAAGAAAGGTTTATATCCTCACCCTGTGAGTGTCCACACTTTCTTCCCTAAGCGGGGCTGTGCGGTACAGTGGGGCAGTCCTCCACGCTGTGGGTTGGAGCTCACGCTGCATTGCCAGGATGCCAACAGGGGGTGCTCTCCCACAGGGGCTGTGGCAGACAAGCACACGCAGGCTGGCAGTGGAAACTCTGGGCTGGATCAGGGCAGGGTCAGGATGGTCCAACTTGGGGCCTGCTGTTCTGACCACTTCCCTGGGCATAGAGGTGACTGTGGTCCTTTGCTCCTCCTCAGGATGACACAGAGCCCTATTTCATTGGCATCTTCTGCTTTGAGGCGGGGATCAAGATCATCGCCCTGGGCTTCGTTTTCCACAAGGGCTCCTACCTGCGGAATGGCTGGAATGTCATGGACTTCGTGGTGGTCCTCACGGGGTAGGTGGGCAGGGCCTGTGTCCCTGGGCCCTGTCTGAGACGAGGTCTCCCCAGGGTGGGAGTGCTTCCCCTGGGCTGTCTGAGCTGTGCTTTCCACGGAGGCTGACACGGAGTGCCCTGTTCTCAGCAGATGCGTCCCCACAGAGCTCACAGCTGAGGGCTGCTGGATGCTGCTGCTGGGCGGTAGCTAGGTCTGCGGGTAGAAGGATGTACCCTGGGAGGGCGCTGGCATCCCCCGAGGGGCCCCCAGGCGACGTTGTCTCTGAGCCCAAGCTACCCTTGTCAGGGTTGGGTGTCGCCTGTAGGATTCTGCTCCACGATGGATGGCCCTTGGTCTGTGTGTCCCACATAGCACTTTCTCCTGAGTGCACCCTCACCACAAACAGCTTCCGATTTCCTAAGCAGCCAGGAAATCTGGGGATCAGCTGCCGCCTTGCCCTGTAACTCCTTGTGGGTAGGCACTTTAGAGCCTTTCCTGAGGACAGCGTGGAACTGCTGTGGTCTGAGGACTGAGGCCAGCTATAGGGTCAGGCCAGCTATAGCTTTTCCCTGGGGTCTCCTGGTCCCTGGAGCTCAAGCCCCAGATGGGGAGGAGGAGCCAGCTGCACTGTAGGGTCACAGAGCCTCTGTCCCTGTCCATGTAGCCTGGCGTAGGGCAGTGTTGGACTGATGAGGTGGCCATGGGACCATTGGGTCTGGGGCTCCAGCCTTCCCAGGCCTCACGGGAGGAAAGCACATTGGCGAGCGGCCACAGCTCTGTGCCCCTCAGGTAGGGGTGGCCCACCCAGGGCACGTTGCGTCAAGGCAGCTTTGTGCCCGGCCGAGGATGCTGTCTGCCCGAGAAGGGCAGTGTTGGCTTGGGGTTTGCAGAAAGCCCTCTGCGGCCCTGTGACACCTGGGGTGGCTGGCAGGGAGGACCAGCATCCCCATGTCCAGAGCCACTAAGTGGGGCATCCAGGAACCACTGTTTACATCTGTCTCTCTCCTGGACGAAAGTCTCAGAGGAGGAGAATGGTGTCTTATTTTTCAGGGAGTCCCCTGGGCCCTGCTGAATGGCAAAGCATCAGGGAGGGGTGGGGAGCCGCAGGGCCCCCCCCCGGGTGCCGATCTGGGAGGGAGGCTGGGGTGAACCCCCACAGTGTGTCAGCAATTCTGGGTCCTTCTGTGAGAGCCAGGGGAGACCCCCAGGTGTGTGTGCAGCCTGTGTTGGGTGGGGCACACGAGGCGGCTCCTCTTCCTGGGAGCTCCGGTGAGAGGAGCAAGGCAGACTCTGTGTTGGTGCCCTGCTCTCCGCTCCTCCTTCCTCTCTCCTCTGCCCTCCAGCCCACCCCTCTTATCTCCTTTCTGGCCAGCATCCTGGTCTCAGACCGCTGCCTCTGCAGTGGTGCTGAGTGGTGAGGGAACCCCAGGTGGGGTGCTGTGCCCCAGAGCCACACTGGGACCTCTCTGATTGGGCACACGGGGATGTGGGGAGCTGTGTGTGCATCTGCATGTGGAGGTTGGTGCTGGTCCCTGGGGCCCAAGGAAGAACCCTGTCCCCAACTCCCTGAGCAGCATAGTGCAGTGCGAGGCAGGCACAGACTTTCCCGTTACTCTGTTGTTTTTAATTAGGGCTTAGCTAATTGGTGCTCAGAGGGCTGGAGGCCAGGAGGGAGGAGGCAGACAGTACCCTGGCTGTTGCCTGGTGACTCTGATATGGTCCCGGCGGCCAGTAATGTCCCTCAGCTGCTGTGGCTGGTGTGGAGGTGTGGGAGCTGTCCAAGGGGAGCCACACTCGCTGCTGCCCTGGGGGATCCTCTAGCCTGGCACACATCTGTCAGCAGGGCTGGGTGCACCACGCCTGCCTGGCTGCCCCTGCGGGGCCTGAACTTGGCAATAACTGCAGTAAGTTCTGTCTGGGTGTGGCAGCCCTGGGGAGGTATACTGGGGTTTGGGCTGGGGCCCACATAGGTAACAGGAATGTTCTGGGGACCCTGGGCCTTGTAAGGGAAGAGGCTAGTGGGGTTGGGATGGTGGCTGGTCCCTGCCTTTCTGATGAAGGGTGCCAGCCCCTGCCCACTCCTCTGCAGGATGGTTCTGCCCCACCCGTTCCTCCCAAGCAGAATCAGGCCCCTGAGTCTACTGGCTGCTGGGCCTGCCTGTGCACCAGGGTGCAGAGGGCAGCAGAGGAATGTGCCCTTCTTTCCTCTGTTCCTCTGTCCATCTGCCCCTTCTGCTTGCTTTCCTGCCAATGCTTTGTCTACTTGTCCACCCACAGACCTTTCATGTGTTCATTGTTGGTCCCTGGGGTATTGAGGCCTGGGTCTGAGGCCAGCCGATGTCTTCCCGAGCCCTTGCCGGGAGCCCTGGCCACACGTGGGTGTGCCCTGTGCTCCGGTTCACCTGTGCTGCCTGCTGTCTCACGGTGCTCCTTGGTTGCATGCTCAAGACCTGACCTGTGCAGGAGCGTGTGAGTGGATGATGGCTTGGGCACCAAGAGGTGGTGGGTCTGAGTGTCAGGGCCGGCTGTGTGCCTCGATCTCAGGCCACCCGTGCAGAGACCAAGGCTCCAGGGCACAGGCTGGACCTTGCTGGAGAGAGGCCTGGCTGAGGTCCTGCCTTGGGTCTCGGGATGTAGATGTGCCCGGCACCAGAGCTGATGGGCAAGGACTGGCAGGAAGCCGTGGAGACGCAGGGTGCTGATGTAGACCTTGTTCCCAGGAGCCTTTTCTGTTCCCCGAGGCAAGGCCAATGTAGTGGGATGTGCAGGTGTGGCCCAGGGTCGACTGGGCAGGGCATGTGTGGGTGAGGATGTGGGGGCAGTCGTCTGACTGAGTTTTGCAGCAGAGTGGGGCAGAGCGGTGCACAGCGCTAGGGGAAGTGGAGGCTGGGAGCTAACCTTACAACCTGTCTGAGCACAGGTCCGTGAGGGACAAAAATGTGGCTGCTGGCTCCATGCAGGGCAGGAGCCTGGGGGTGTTCGTGGTTAGTCAGCAGAGGTGGCCCACCCTCCAGGACTGAGGGCTGTTCCGTCATATTTGGAAGTGTGTTCCTGAGGGTTTATGGGTGAGGGAAACGTAGGAGCCTGAGTTGCAGGGCAGAGAGAGGAGGGAGGGAGATGGGAAGGCAGAACCAGTGGGTGGCCAGTGGGGTCCCCTCCAACCAGCCCCTCCCTCAGCATCCAGCGGTCCTTGGCTCTGTCACTCAGAAGGACTTTGCTGAGGGCACCTGCTGCTGTTCACCTTGTTCAGGTTGCCAGGGACACGGCAGTGACCGAGTAGACAGGTTCCTGTTCCCGGACATTGCCTCCTCCAAGCAGATGGACAGTGGGTGTGGCTATCAGGACCCAGGCCTAGGGGCAGTGAGGACACTCACTGGGCTCAGGGACCTGGTCAAGCAGCTCTGGTGAGGATAGGCTGAGGATAGAGGGTGGAGTCAAGGTGTTCAAGCACAGGATGAGGCCGTAAGAGGCCATGGGGTGTGGCTGCTAGTGTGAGTGGCCAGGTGGGCCTCATGCAGGGTATTGATTTAAAGCTGACCTGAGAGCCGTGCAAGCACCAGGCCGGCTGGGAAGCGGGGCTGACCTGGAAGGTGGGGTGCTGGGAGGCCTGGGTGCTTCTGGGTGCTTTCCTCCCCCACCTCAGCTTCCGTCCTCCTCCCCTCTTTGCGTGCCCCTGCCCCACCAGGCCCTGTGGAAGCCTGTGGCTCACTCTGGTGACAGATCAGGCCCCAGGATGCCATAGCCCAGCTGTCCATACCGTATTGCATCTCAGCCCCCTTCTTCCCTCACGGTCCTCAGGGATGGAAAGAAACTGTCCCGGTTCAGCCCAGTGGCTCCCCAGTGGACAGTTCCAACCACAACTTCTCATTTTACTCCAAATTAAACTGGGATTTCTTTCTACGACATGTAATTAGAGCGCAGGTTCCTGCTTCCCTGGACTTGGCTCTTGTGGGCAGAGGAAAGGGGATGGGGGGAGGAAGGCTGGGCATGGAGCACAGTGTCTCCCTCGCCAGGTAGAACTGAGTGCCAGGCTGGGCTGTTGGTGCTGGTGACTTCTGCTGATCCTCTCCTTTGAGTAACATGGACACAGGCTGGTTCGGGGGGCAGGGGCATCTGGGGTGCTGGAGGCTGGGCTTGACACAGGAGATAAGGCCAGGCCGAGAGGTGGCCACACAGTTGTTCTCAAGGGCAAAGGGTTACCAGAGATACTGGGCTTCCCACATGTGACTGGAGGGTGGTGATGCCGTTGTGTCTTAGAAATGACCAGACCCAGAGCCAGTGAAAGGCTCTTCCTCAGTTGTGCTGCCGGGGCTTCTGTGCTGGTTGGGTGGGAGCTCTCAACTTCCTTTCCCCTTGCCTACCTGAGGCTTGTAGTTGTCCATGCAGGTCTGGGCCACCCCCACTGGGTCCTTCCCAGTGGCGGGAACGAGTGGTTGGGGGCTGAGTTCCGTGATGGCCCTGTGCTCCTCTTATTCTGTGATCTGGCATCGCCCTCAGGCTGTCCATGGGCCTCACTGGTGACTCAGAACAGGCTTGGCCAGGGGTCCATGCAGGCCCCCTGGCCTGGTAGAGTATGCTGAGACCCTGTTGCACCCCCAGCAAGGCTTTGCAACCCTTGGCCCCAGCTCTGTGCCGTGTGAACCTGTGCACTGGGTGGACGATGGGTTGAGGACGGTGCCCATGCTGCACACCCCTTTAGCAGGTGCCTTCTTGGCCTTGTACCTGGGCCGGTCAGAGCCCTGTGTTGGTTATGTAAGGCCTGGGACTGAGGCGCTGCCCCGGGGGTGGAGTCTCAGCCTCCCCTGGCACCCACCCGCGCACTGGTATTTATAGAGGACCTGGCACACTCCCACCCTCTCCTTCCCTTCCCTGTTTCAGGAGTCGTGGCATTTCCTAGGCTGGGGGCAGAGCTGGGCACCCCATCCCCCATCCTCATGTGCAGGAGCTGACCGTCCTGTTGTCCTGAGCAGGGTGGGGTCTGTGTTGCTTGGGCTTGAGGCAGCTGTGCTTCCTGTCCTGT